TGTGTGTGTGTGTGTGTGTGTGTGTGTGTGTGTGTGTGTGTGTGTGTGTGTGTGTGTGTGCTTTAAAAGTGTCCTGCAGAGAGCTGTGTTTGACTGCTCTGCATTTACACATCAAAAGACTGAGTGTTGACTCGGAGGATCTCCTGCATTCACACCTCCACACACACACACAGGGAAATCACACCGCTCTGAGCCCCAACAGGACCACAATCTACTGTCTTAACCTCACAATGAACATTATCATCAAGCATTATCTGACCGTCATTAACACCCAACAAAGCCCACATTCACATTAAACTCATGCAAACCCATGTGAATACAGCCACAGACAATGCTGAAAATGTGGATACTGTGACACAGCAAAATCTTTTAAGGACAGAAAATTTAGTAGCATGGCTTTGCAAACATTCAGAAGTGTTTCTTTAACAATGAACCAGCAAATCAGAGCATCGTGCAAAACTCAAGACTGGAGTAATATGCTGAAAATTCAGCCTTTAATCACAGTGATAAATTACATAACACTATGTGTTCACGTAGAAAGCAGCTATTTCAGTTTGTAATCATTTGTTAGCATCACATTTTGTGATGTATTTCTATTGTTCCTCTCATTTTGGAAAGATGTTACACATTCTCACAATAAAAAGGTATACTGTGGTACATATAATGCTCCTTAAGCAGCAGGTTTGTACCTTTGTAAAAGTTGTACCATATATAGTAGAGAAAACACCTCTTATGATACTGATCTGTGCCGTCTATGGTATACAATTGAAACAAAAGGTACACAATTGTTCTCAGAAAAAAAAAAGTGTTGGACAACTCCTTTATTACAATATCTATCAATGAAAATAAATATGATTGGAAAGGCAAAGTGATTTTATGAGTCATTTTCATATTAAAACATGAATCATCATATAAAAGCATGCGTTTAAAGAAACTCAAACAATAATTATTAAGCTCTATAATACAAAAACAACTGTGTAAAAACACAAACGTGTGAAAACTTGAGAGGAAAAAAAATGCTTTATATTGTAGATGGGAGAATGTGTTACTGTAACATTTGTGTTGTGAAATGTTTAGCAAAAATAGATCTTTTGATTTATGTTTAAGTATTTTTTATTATGTATTGTAAATGGAAAAGGTGCAATTAGACAAAAATAAACTTTGTTTTGAAATAGTTTAGAAAATGCATTTAATGCTTATAAAGCAAATTGCCTTTAAACAGTTCTTCAAACAGAAGAAACACATTTGACTTGGTAAAGGTACTAAGGGTTTTGTCACTGTAGTGGTGCCTTTATGGATTAGATTTGCACCACTGATGAAGGTACACTGTTGTATCTGCAGGTTTTAAAACTAAAAGGTAGATTTGGTTTCCCATTGTACAAAACATGTCTTTAAAGGTACAAACCGCATATGCAGATTATGCACATAAGTTTCTTTGTCATATGTCTGTTCCATAATAAGGTACTGCCCCAGAGACAAGTGTTTGTACCTTCTTTGGTACAACATTGTACTGTATTTTTGAGAGAGCATAGTAAAAAGAAATCTAGTTATGACAACATTTGTTTTTAGTTTATTGTAACTTAATAAACCAAGTTATTCATGTTCTAACTTAATAATACAAGTTACACAAGCTGTTCTAAGTCATGTTACTGTAATGTAAGCACAAATTAATCAAAGATTTTTTTTTTTCATTTATTTTTTCAGTTTCATTGTGTAGGCATACTGAACTGTTAAAAAATCTTAATGTAGCCTAAAACGTATCATTCAACATTGATTTGAACTTATTCATCTCAAGTTTACGTTGTCTGAAAAATAACAAAATTAAAATAATTTAGTAACAAAAACTGATGTGAGACTAAAGACAAAAGTTCAGCTTACAATTACATTATATTCACTTAGAATACAGCCAATTTAATTATGTCAGAGTTTAATGCATTCGTTTAACATTCATATTTTGGACTAAGAATTAAACCAAGCAAATAAACTCAACAAGCACCTCAAATATTATTATTTTTAATCAAATTGTAACAATGCTAAAACATCAGCTTCAAATCACAGTAACAAAAACATTTTGATATAATTCATAAACATTGGTGTTTTTGCTTTTTGTATACAACAAGTCCTGAAATTAACAAGTGGGTTAAAGAAAAGGCTAATAGAATCAGTACAAGTGCCTCAAATACAGTGTAATATATTAATAAAACGCATGTAAATAGGATAGGTATTCTGTTTTAAGAGATTTTGAGGAATACCAAAAACCTGTAACCATTAACATCCAGGACTTTTCCTACTATGGATGTCGGTGGTTTTCAGCTCTCTTCAAAATATCTTGTGTCCAGCAGAAAATAAAAACTCAAAGGTTTGGAGTCACAAAATTGAGCACATTTCATTTTTGAGTGAACTACCCCTTTATATATTAGTGTTAACAGTACTTAGTGCAAGATCTCCTTTAACTAATGCAGGAATGTGAAGGCACGGTTTTATTCAAGTCACACTGCAGTCCTGAATATTGCATTTTTTTGGTAGACACATGGTTTTGGTGGTTGTGGGAAAAGCACAGCTTCATTTACGTGATACTCAAACTCTGTTTCAGAGACACATGAATCAGACACACTCCAGCAGCTCAGAGTTTCTTTCTCCTGCTGAAACCTGAAGCCATAAAGAGAAGCTAAAAATGTGGGAGTTCCTGAAAGCCACTTTAACAAAGCAGAGTGTGTGTGTGTGTGTGTGGACATCCATGCTACAGTCTCACTGTTTCACATTTCATTTGTAGCAATACACAAGTTCATGATAGTTTTACATGCAGAATCTAACGTTTCAGATTTATTGTAAATGTAAGAGGAAACAGCAGTTGGAAAAAGTTCCAGCCTCTTAAAGTATAAACAAACTAATTTTGAGTAGACAACTTCCATTTAAAGGGACAGTTCACACAAAAATGCCATCATTCACTCGTCTTGCTACAAACCAATTTGGAGTTTCTTTCTTCTGTTTAACAAAATAGATTTAGAAAAATATGTTATAAACCTATAACCATCGACATTCATAGTAGGGAAAATAAGTATGGAAGTTAATGGTTCCATCTCCATCTAAGTGATTACACATTATGGTAAAGTAGTTGGACAACTTTTGGATTACATTCAGATTACTTCTGTTCTATAATGTTTCCATCCAAGAGATTACACATGGCAACGTAATCTGACTACTTTTGAGATACATTTAGATTACATTTGCGCTATAATAAATCTATAATAAATCTTACCATCAAAGAGATTACACATTATGGTAATGTAAACTGACTACTTTTGGATTACACCTGGATTACTTTTGTACTGCATTAAATGTCGCCATCTAAGAGATAACACATTATGGTAATGTAATCGGACTACTTTTGGATTACTTTGGTCATATGCTACCATAATATATGTATATATATATATATAATATATAATATATATATATGTGCAAGAAATGTCAAAATTAATGACACGTTCTCATGAATGCTTAAATGTTGTTAAAATGTTAAACTACTTTTAAAACATTCAGTTTAACAAGCAGAAATGCATAAAACTACACTTAATCATCTTCCATAATCACTAAAAGCACCAAACAAGTTTCATATTTATTGCAAAAGAATAGGAAAACTGCAGTTCCAGGCTCTTAAAGTATAAACTAACGTTAGAGTTGACAACTTCCATTTAAAGGGACAGTTCACACAAAAATAAACATTCCCATCATTGCATTCATCATGTTACAAACCAGTTTGGAGCTTCTTCCTCTGTTTAACAAAATAAACTTAGAAAAATGTTGGAAACCTAACCATCAGCATCCAAACTTATTCTCTCTACTATGGAAGTCAATGGTTACCGGTTCAATCTCCATCTAAGAGATTACACATTGGTAACGTTATCTGACTTCTTTTGGTTTACATTTAGATGATTTCTGAGCTATAAAAAAATATTATGACTACTTTTAGATGACATTTAGATTACTCTTGTGATATATTAAATGTTAGCATCTAAAAGATTACACTTTATGGTAACAATCTAAATACTTGTGGATAACATTTAAGTTACTCTTGTGATATATTAAATGCTTCCATCTATGACTACACAATGTTAACTATAACACACTACTTTTGGATTAATTTGGTGATATCCATGTTACCCATCTAAGAGTCTACACAATGGTTTCCAACATTTGTCAAAATATTCCCTTTTGTGTTCAAAATAGGAAACTCAAAAGGTTTAGAACCAATTGAGGAGTAGTAAATTGTTATTTTGGGTGAAAAGCTATTTAAATCCCATTTTAAGATTTTGTATTTATGTAATTAGCATGTTTTTATTCACATATACATTTTGAAATGTAGTACATGTGCAAGACACATGTCAAAATATATGACAAGATTCTCATGAATGCTGGAAGTCAACTTTAAAAGGTTGTTAAATGTTAAATACAGACAACTTTGCAAGCAAAAATTCATGAAACTACACTAAATCATCTACCATAGCAAAAATTATTATATAAATTCCACTTTGACAACGTCACTTCCCCTTGCTCATTTACATATCCCACGCAGACATTTAAAAATTACATTTGCAGTCCCAAACAAACACGAGGGTCACATACGAACAAAAAAAATCCATCAGGTGAAGATAATTATATAACCCTCGACGTCAGCAGCATCTTAAACGTCACTCAAAGCAACTTTCTCTTTCCGAAAACGCTTAAACTCAACCGTAAAATCGTTCAGACACGGAAAAGTGTGCTGGCAGACACGAATAAACAAACGGGGCCGTGAAGACGCGCGAAAAAACGCTCTTCAGCAAACAAACAGACGCGCGCTGACGTCATCAGATCACAATGATACAATGTAACAAACGCGTGCGAGTCAAAGAAAGATCAGAGGAATCCGCGTTCGAAAGTCGAATGCTCCTCAGGAACCAGCACAGACGTGAGAAAACAGACAGTAAAGCACAGCGAGCAGCGTGAAGAAAATGAGAACCAGAAGCACATCTGCGTCTCACGCGTTCAGACTGAAAAATCACGCCACGAGCACAGACGTGCAGATGGACAGCGCTCACACACACACACTGAAACACACACTAACTCTCAAACACACACACACGCACGACAGTCACGCACAACATCCCGCCTCACCTCTTTTGTTGGGCTTCATCCTGGTGCAGGGAAATAAAACACACACACTGCTGAAGTTGCTGGTGTGGGAACGCGGCGCTCGTCAGACGGAGTGTGTATTTCTCTCGCTCACACATACACAGCTGTATTGAGTCGGATGAGAGTGAAGCTCCAGTAATCAGCTCATTTACTCATTAGATAATGATGTTGACAAACAGGCGTTTACCTGCAGCTCTGCTCCTCCACACAACTCCAGCGTCTTCTGAATGACAGGCTCCAGGCTCCGCCTTCAACTGCGCGGGCCAATCAAAACCCCGCATCTGCGTGTCATCACTCATTCAAAACTCCCCATTCAAACGCTTTGATTCGTTTTTATTTATTCTCCTTTATTTATATTATTTTATGTATCAGTTTTTATTTAATTCGCTTTTATGCTAAATTTATCCTTCACTGTAAAAATGCTGGGTTCCACACTAGCCCTTCATGTTGTCCCAACACAACTTAATTGTGTTTACAAATTTAAGTGGATTGAACATATAAAACAATTAAGTTGTCCTCAAAAACACTCAACAATTGTGTTGATTCAGTTCATTTTAGATGAGTAGTTTGAACAAAAAGCAGAAAAAAAACACATTTATATATATTATTATAATTATTATTATATTGTATTTTTTTCCAGCGTAGGTTTGATCTTTCTATGGTTGTTACTTAATAATAATAACATTAAAAATAATACTGAACCGAAGAAAAGCTATAGAATCTAAAATAAAATATATAAATAAATTAAAATCTATAAACTGTATTTCTATAGTTCTAGCCACATGAAAACATACTGTAGTAAGTGATATTACATACTAAAGTATTTTTTAATTTGCTACGGCATTACGTAATACTGCAGGTAAACATAAAGTTTATTATACTATAATACACAGCATTACACTAGAGTATTCATTCATTCATTCATTTTAATTTCAGCTTAGTCCCTTTATTAATCAGGGGTCATCACAGCTGAATGAACCGCTTATGTTACGCTGATGCACCCAAAGGAAACCCACGAAAACAAGGGGAGAACATGCAAACTCCACATAGAAACGCCAACTGGCCGGGCCAGTATTCGAACCAGCGACCTTCTTGCTGTGAGTCAATCATGCTACCCACTGCACCACTGTTAGGCCCTATATTAACATGTAATTTATTCATTCATTAATTTTCTTGTCGGCTTAGTCCCTTTATTAACCCGGGGTCACCACAGTGGAAAGAACCGCCAATTTATCCAGCTAGTTTTTACGCAGCGGATGCCCGTCCAGCCGCAACTCATCTATGGGAAACATCCACACACACATTCACACACTAAAGACAATTTAGCCTACCCAATTCACCTGTACCGCATGTCTTTGGACTGTGGGGGAAACCAGAGCACCCGAGGGAAACCCACGCAAACAGAGGGAGAACATGCAAACTCCACACAGAAACACCAACTGAGCCGAGGCTCGAACCACCAACCTTCTGGCTGTGAGGTGACAGCACTACCTACTGCGCCACTGCTTCGCCTTAAATTGTTTTTATCATAAAAAATTTACCGGTTTAAAAGCTATTAAAACTGTTCATTCTCCACATATTATTTGGTTTTTTTCCCTCTGTCTATTTATATTGCTTTATTTACAAAATAAATAATAAAAAAAATGGACCTACACTGGACCATGTCTTGCAATATTGTTTCTGAACAGCAAACAGTATCTGATTAGAAAAGTGCTGTCTGAATAATAACCTCAATGGCTGAACAAGGTCTTTTCATAAATGCAGTTTTTGCAGGAAATGGTCGAGTGTTTGTTTGCATACAGATCAGATTTGTGAAGTATTTTCTCGACGCCTGTGGCAAATCCTTCTCTTTCATATGCAGGAATGTGCAGAAAGCACTTGAGCAGAGGAGACTTGCTCGTATTTCACTCCTGTGACGACGGATTTCTGACATCATGACCTTAAACGCTCTTTTCTGATGGAGAAATGCCTCTTAAAAGACCACAACAATATCTTGAAAATGTTCCTGTTTAGGAAATTAGAATTGAAATATCGTGAGGTAAGTAGTAATGGATTAAATGTAATCTGGATTATGTAATCAGATACCAAATATCCTAATTACTTTTCCAAATACGCATTATAATAAATTTGGTTGTGTTCAGTGTTAGCAAACTCTAACAACGAGGTATATTAGCGTGAATGCTGTGAAATATTAACTGTCAATCAATTCACTTTAAATAACATTACGTTTGAAACAATTGTTGATGATAAAGAATGAAGATATTTGTTTCTTTTTATCGGTCAAATTAGTACAACATCATCAATATTTGTGACATCAAATAAGGGTTAGCACAGAAGTAATGTAATCTAAAAGTAGTCAGATTACGTTACCATAATGTGTAATCTCTTAGATGTTAACATTTAATATAGCACAGAAGTAATCTAAATGTAATCCAAAAACATCGGATTACGTTATTACTTAATGTAACATAGGAGTAATCTAAATGTAATCCAAAAGTAGTCCAATTAAGTTACATAATGTGTAATCTCTTAGATGTTAACATTTAATATAGCATAGAAGTAATCTAAATGTAATCCAAAGACATCAGATTACGTTATTACGTAATGTAACATAGGAGTAATCTAAATGTAATCCAAAAGTAGTCTGATTACATTACATAATGTGTGATCTCTTGGATGGTAAAATTTAATGTAGCGCAGAAGTAATCTAAATGTTATCCAAAACAATCAGATTACGGTATTATTTAATTTAACATAGAAGTAATCTAAATGTAATTCAAAAGTAGTCCGATTACGTTACCATAATGTGTAATCTCTTGGAAGAAAACATTTAATGCAGCACAGAAGTAATCTAAATGTAATCCAAAGATTATTAGATTATGTAACCATAAATGTGTAGTCTAAGAGATGGTGACATTTATCATAGCACAAAGTAATCCAAATGTAATCCAAAATAAATCAGAGTATGTTACCGTAATGTGTAATCTCTTAAAAGGTAACATACATCACAGAAGTAATCTAAATGTAATCCAAAAGTAGTGAGATTACGTTATTATTTAATGTAGCACAGAAGTAATCTAAATGTAATCCAAAAGTAGTCAGATTACGTTATTATTTAATGTAGCACAGAAGTAATCTAAATGTAATCCAAAAGTAGTCAGATTACGTTATGTGTAATCTCTTGCATGAAAATATTTAATGTGGCACAGAAGTAATCTAAATGTAATCCAAAAGTAGTCAGATTACGTTATTATTTAATGTAGCACAGAAGTAATCTAAATGTAATCCAAAAGTAGTCAGATTATGTTATGTGTAATCTCTTGGATAAAAATATTTAATGTAGCACAGAAGTAATCTAAATGTAATCCAAAAGTAGTCAGATTACGTTATGTTTAATCTCTTGGATGAAAATATTTAATGTGGCACAGAAGTAATCTAAATGTAATCCAAAAGTAGTCAGATTACATTATGTTTAATCTCTTGGATGAAAATATTTAATGTCGCACAGAAGTAATCTAAATGTAATCCGTAAGTAGTCATATTATGTTACCATAACGTGTATTCTCTGAGATGGAAACATTTAATGTAGCACAGAAGTAATCTAAATGTAATCCAAAAGTAGTCAGATTACGTTATGTTTAATCTCTTGGATGAAAATATTTAATGTGGCACAGAAGTAATCTAAATGTAATCCAAAAGTAGTCAGATTACATTATGTTTAATCTCTTGGATGAAAATATTTAATGTCGCACAGAAGTAATCTAAATGTAATCCGTAAGTAGTCATATTATGTTACCATAACGTGTATTCTCTGAGATGGAAACATTTAATGTAGCACAGAAGTAATCTAAATGTAATCCAAAAGTAGTCAGATTATGTTATTATTTAATGTAGCACAGAAGTAATCTAAAAGTAATCCAAAAGTAGTCAGATTACGTTATGTGTAATCTCTTGGATGAAAATATTTAATGTGGCACAGAAGTAATCTAAATGTAATCCAAAAGTAGTCAGATTACGTTATGTTTAATCTCTTGGATGAAAATATTTAATGTAGCACAGAAGTAATCTAAATGTAATCCAAAAGTAGTCAGATTACGTTATGTTTAATCTCTTGGATGAAAATATTTAATGTGGCACAGAAGTAATCTAAATGTAATCCAAAAGTAGTCAGATTACATTATGTTTAATCTCTTGGATGAAAATATTTAATGTCGCACAGAAGTAATCTAAATGTAATCCGTAAGTAGTCATATTATGTTACCATAACGTGTATTCTCTGAGATGGAAACATTTAATGTAGCACAGAGGTAATCTAAATGTAATCCAAAAGTAGTCAGATTATTTTATTATTTAATGTAGCACAGAAGTAATCTAAATGTAATCCAAAAGTAGTCAGATTACGTTATGTGTAATCTCTTGGATGAAAATATTTAATGTGGCACAGAAGTAATCTAAATGTAATCCAAAAGTAGTCAGATTACGCTATTATTTAATATAGCACAGAAGTAATCTAAATGTAATCCAAAAGTAGTCAGATTACATTATGTTTAATCACTTGGATGAAAATATTTAATGTCGCACAGAAGTATTCTAAATGTAATCCAAAAGTAGTCAGATTACGTTACCATAATGTGGAAATGGAAATATTAAATTTGTGCAAAAAAACTGCATATTAACTGTGCTGTCAGACATTTAAACCCAATATTTTGTTAAACAAGTATACAATAAGTAATTTAAGGATCAAACATTTTTTTTTAGGATGCTTTATATTGTTATTGTTGAATATTATAATTAAGTATGATTCATTTTAGTTAATCAAAAATCACCAATATATATTAACTTTATTTCAGCATTGAATATTTGTGGGTGTTTAATTTTGCTGACAGGATCTCATTTTAATTTAATAGAAACTACTACAAATAAAAAAAGGAAACTCCAAAGAAAATATGAAAAGAAAAAGAATTAATTAAGTACAATAAGACTTTATCACCATCATATTATGGTAAAGGAAGAGTCAGACACAGATTTTAACTTAACTCGTATTTACTGTATTTCTTACTAAACAAAAGACCCTGACATACACAGCCTAAACTTCATATAGCATTAGACATATTGAACAAATCCTAGTCATTAAAATATGTGCTTGTTTCATAAAATATCGATTATCAATCTTTATAATAACAATAATAATCTTAATTCTTGTTGCTACAAACTCTTGCATTTAGATGATTTATTCTCTGACGACCCCAAAAAACTCCAGCAAAACACAGCAGAAGAAAGATTGTGTGTTGTCGGGTTTATCAGAGATCATATCCCGAGCGCTGCCGTATTTTTCCGTGTAGAAAACTGTAGTTTATCCGAGCAGCATGAACAGAGACGGGCCCAACACAAAGCCCTGCGTGCCGCATGAGAGCGGTGGATGATTTTTGAAGCAAACGCGGTCCGTTCTCCACAAAAAAAATCTGTGTTTTGTGTTGTTGTCATCCTCAGGGAAGCCCACAAACATGATGGAGTACAAACTTGTGAGCATACAGCATCAGAAATCACACATCAGAGATCTCACATCAGTCACTGGACAGTGAAACACATCAGGAAAAAGACTGTCCCAGGAAGTGTAGATGATCACATCATGATGAAAATTAAAATCAATAAATAAATCTGATGAATGCATATGTCTGCAGATGTCGGCTGATTTGTCCGTAGTTGTGTTTATGAGCTTGAGAGATTATTTTCCATCTGTTTGATTGAAATTAGATTTTTTTTGGTCTCATTTTTCATATTTGATTCTCATTAATCAGTGTTTCTTTAAAAACTAAATTACTGCAATGCAATAAAACAAAGTAAAAGTACATATAAAAAGGACTGAAATAACCAAAACTGGAGCAATATTAATATACCTGGACATGACCACTTCTGATTTGCTTTAGTGTGGATATCGAATGTGTGTTAAACTGAATTATTTAGAATTTGCTTTACTGAATGTTTACTTTTGAGTGTTTTTATAGGTTCCATTATTATTACATTTTTATTCAAGTGTTTTTTTAAACACCATAACTTTATTAAATACCAAGAAAACAGTTTATCTATGAACATAAACGGGCCCAACACAAAGCCCTGGGTGCCACATCAGAGCGCTCAGTGGTGTTTGAAGCAAACATTGTCTGTTTCCCACAAAATAATCTACAGTTGTGTGCTTGAGAGTTTATTTTCCAACTGTTTTATAGTAACTTGGTCTCAAGGTTATTTGATTCTCATTAATCTGTATTTTCTTTACACATTAAGTTTCTCCAACAAAATTACTGCAATGCAATGCAATAAAAATAAGTTAAAATACAAATAAAAAAGGACTGAAATAAACCAAACTGGAGCAATATTAATATAACTGGACATGGTGACTTATGATTTACATTAGTCTGGATATTGAATGCGTGTTAAACTGAATTTAATTTCACATCCCTGATCAAAAGTTACATAAAGGTCTATTTTATCTAGTCAAACAAAATAAGCTGTTCATTTTTACTTTGCAATGCATCGACATTCCTTATTTAAAGATTGATTTAAGATCAATTAAAGAGAATTATTTTGAGTTCGCTTTACTGAATGTTTACTTTTACAAGGTCCATTATGGTTTACCTTTTTAAACTGTAAATTTATTAAATACCAAAAACACAGTTTATCTAGTTTACCTAAGCAGCGTGAACATAAACGGGCCCAACACAAAGCCCTGGGTGCCGCATCAGAGCGGTCAGTGGTTTTTGAAGCAACAAAATTTGTTCGTCAACAAAATTACTGCAATGCAATTAAAATAATTTTTAAAGCATATATGAAAAGGACTGAAATAAACCAAAAATGGAGCAATTTTAATGCAAGTGGACATGACGACTTACATTTGATATCCAGACTAAAATAAATCATGTGTTAAACTGAATTTAATCTCACATCCCTGATTAAAAGTTACACAAAAGTCTATTTTATCTAGTCAAATAAAGTAGGCTGTTCATTTTTATGTTGCAATGCATTACAATTCCTTGTTTTAAGATTAATTAAGAGAATTATTTAGAATTTGCTTTACTGAATGTTTACTTTTGAGTGTTTTTATGGGTTCCATTATTGTTTACATTTTCATTTACACATTTCTTTAAACACCATAACTTTATTAAATACCAAGAAAACAGTTTATCTATGAACATAAACGGGCCCAACACAAAGCCCTGGGTGCCACATCAGAACGCTTAGTGGTTTTTGAAGCAAACATTGTCTGTTTTCCACAAAATAATTCACAGTTTTGTGCTTGAGAGTTTATTTTCCAACTGTAACTTGAGTTTTTTGGTCTCATGTTTCATATTTGATTCTCATTACTTTGTATTTTCTTTAAACAATAAGTTTCTCCAACAAAATTACTGCAATGCAATGCAATAAAAATAAGTTTAAATACAAATAAAAAAGGACTGAAATAAACTAAACTGGAGCAATATTAATATAACTGGACAAGGTGACTTATGATTTACATTAGTGTGGATATTGAATGCGTGTTAAACTGAATTTAATTTCACATCCCTGATCAAAAGTTACATAAAGGTCTATTTCATCTAGTCAAACAAAATAAGCTGTTCATTTTTACTTTGCAATGCATCGATATTCCTTATTTTAAGATTGATTTAAGATCAATGTTTACTTTTGAGTGTTTAAGGTCCATTATGTGTTTCCATTCAAGTGTTTTTTAAAACTATAAATTGATTAAATAGCAAGAACACAGATTATCTAGTTTATCCCAGCAGCATGAACATAAACGGACCCAACACAAAGCCCTGGGTGCCGCATCAGAGCGGTCAGTGGTTTTTAAAGCAAACGCTGTCTGTTTTCCTCCCAAAAATAGTGTAAATTTCTACATAAACTGTTTCCTTTCTTTGTAAAAATGCAATAAAATATACAGTACTTCTACTCTCTCCTTCATATTAGTATCTTTGTGCTGATTTAATTGTGATTGTTTCAAAAACTGCAATGACAGTTTTTGTTAAGCATTAACAGTCCATCTAACCTGATTTTGGGTTTGCTAAACACAGGATATGAGCATTCAGGTATTCAAGCTCATCATCCCGACTCATTGTTTAGTGTGTGTGGTGTGCTGTCAGATAAATATGAGACTGTCAGACGTTTACAGGCGTCAACGGCTTGAGAATGAGTGAACCGCTGAAAACTGAAAAGTGCAATTCACACCAGAAGCTCAGAACAATACAGTCAATTTAAATAATCCTTCACAAGTCTGAGGTCAGTAAGATTTGATGTTTTGTAAAGTAGTTGATACTTTTAATTCCACATGGATGCATTCAATTCTTCAAAAGGGAGTCATTTGAATTTCTGCAACAGATAAATGCTGTTCTTTTGAACTCATAATTCATCAATACATTTAAAAAATTTAATTACGACAAAAATATGAAGCCATTTTTAATTGCAAATCATCTTACAGTAATGATTTCTGAAGTAATTTCTTCAGTTGAAGTATATTCTGAAGGATTGTTGAGTAATTCACAAGAGAATAATTAATTCTAAATAATTTTCGTTGCATGTTTAATATGACAAATTCACTAGAGGGCGCTGTCTACATTATTGCAAATATTAAAATACATTAATTTTCGTAGGTTTTGTTGTATGTTTTAGATGACAAATCCACTAGAGGGCACTGTCTGCATTATCGCAAATCTAAAACACATCACTTAGCGTAAGTTTTGTAATGTTTCAGATGATAAATCCACTAGAGGGCGCTATGGTGCTGATTTGGTGTTCCTTTATTCGTCAAAGAATTTAGAAAAATGTATAATTCCGACAAGAATATAATGTCTCTTTAATATAGATCATAATTTAATGATTTCTCAAGTATATTTCTTCAGTATAAGTATATTCTGAAGCATTGTTGAGTAGGATTTATTCAAATTAAATTTAGTTGCATGTTTCAGATGAAAAATACACTAGAGGACGCTGTGGTGTTAATTTGGTGTTCCTTTATTCCTTTATCCTTATTAAAAAACATGAAGCCCTTTTATATATCGATCATAATTGAAGGATTTCTCAAGTATATTTATTCAGTTGAAGTATATTCTGAAACATTGTTGAGTAGCATTAATTCAAATTAAATTTCGTTATGTTTAAAATGACAAATCCACGAGAGGGCGCTGTCTGCATTATTGCAAATCTGAAATACATCACTAAGCCTAGGTTTTGCTGTACGATTCAAATGATAAATCCACTAGAGGGCGCTGTGGTGCTGATTTGGTGCTCCTTTATTCGTCAAAGAATTTTAAAAATTTAAAAAAAAAATGTATAATTCTGAAAAAAAAACATGAAGCCCTTTTATATATCAATCATAATTGAATGATTTCTGAAGTATATTTATTCAGTTGAAGTATATTCTGAAGCATTGTTGAGTAGCATTAATTCAAATTAAATTTTGTTACGTTTAAAATGACAAATCCACTAGAGGGCGCTGTCTGCATTATTGCAAATCTGAAATACATTGCTTAGCGTAGGTTTTGCTGTACGTTTCGGATGACAAATCCACTAGAGGGCGCTGTGGTGCTGATTTGGTGTTCCTTTATTCGTCAAAGAATTTAGAAAAATGTACATTTCTGACTAAAATATAATGTCTTTTTTGATATAGATCATAATTAAATGATTTCCCAAGTATATTTCTTCAGTAGAAGTATATTCTGAAGCATTGTTGAGTAGGATTTATTCAAAATAAATTTAGTTGCATGTTGCAGATGACAAATACACTGGATGGCGCTGTCTGCTTTATTGCAAATCTGAAATACATTACTAACCCTAGGTTTTGCTGTACGTTTCAGATGACAAATCCACTAGAGGGCGCTGTGGTGCTGATTTTTTTTTTTTTTTGCCTATTTTTAGTTTTCCGATATGGAATGGACTTAAGATTTCCTGATTTATGAGTAAGAATGTTCATTTTTAGATGAAATGTGCCTTTTAGCTTTATGAAACCTATATAAAAAATGACTTTAGGCATTTACAGCAAGCCGGATCACACCTTTGATGCCATTAAATGTCTTACACCTCACATTTTCATTAGGATGCCAAAAGTGTGTTTGTAGTTCTCTGAATGTATGAATGTGACAAAAATGTACTGAAAGTAGACAAGTTTTTGCTCCCAAAAACACTGTTGTACTATAAATAAATTGCCAAAACATATTTTTTGTTACGCAAAACTAGTCAAACGTGACATTCTTCACCCAAATTCATAACTAAATTTGAAACTACAGGACAAATATGTCAGTGATGATATGAGCTACGTGTTTGTGCATATCGAGTGGGAGTCAGAACGACGAAATGCAACACAAAGGAGTGCTAAACAGTGAATATACTGTGATATAATCATCTTCCATATTGCTACAGGGCTCATATAATAATCACCCACAATAATGATCGACAGGCACTTCATTTGATAAAACATCAGGTTGGTTCGTGAGCAAAGGGAACACTGGGATTGAAAAGCTTGACTTCAGGACCTGAGATGGAGACACGACTGCACTTTCATCCACAAAAGCAATAAGAGAAACGGAAGAGCGCCACCTGCTGGATCTGAAAAACACTGGAGTGTCCGGAGGAAAAGCCAAAGATAATTTAAAGGATGAAAAAATGAATCCAAAATGGGAAGACGTTGATTCCAGACTCAAGCGGTGGGCCGAAAGAAGAGGGTTTTTTCCCTACAAGAGTTCTTATCCAAAATAATAGACATTTAAAACAATCTGATATAGGATTTTATGACGATAATCATTATTAATATCAGTTAATAATCATATCAATAATAGCGATTGCAACTATTAAGTGAGGTTTTCCTTGGCAGTTCAGTTTCCTTCTCACCTGTTGAAATAAACGTCGCCGTCTGAAGACAAAAGCAGCCTCCGTGTGTGTTTTAGTGTGTGTGTGTGATGCCGGAGCCCTTGAGCAGTGGTTGGCGGTCTCTGTTTTTTCCTCAGAGTCGCGTCTGGGCTTCAGGGACGTAGATTTCGATGCTGTCTGCGCTCTCGGTGGCTGAGTTCTGCTTTACAGACTGCGCTCTTTTGGCTGCCATCAGCCTTTTTCGAGCCTCCTGTCTCTGTTTGTCCACCGACTCTGTGCTTTTTTCGCGGCCCAGGGTTGGTTTGCTTTTTCCGGGTTTCTTGGGCACCGGAGGAGCCTGTTTCTGGTTCTCCTGCAATGGATAGAAGTAAAAAACAATTCTTAAGGCAAGATCATCTGGATTTCACACTTGCTCCCTGAAGTTATTAGTGAAATTGTAATTGTTTTTCAAATAAGTGCCGTTTAATGGAGAGATTTAAATAATGATTGTTAAAAAATAACTAATTTCTAATCACTAATTTCTTTTGTATTTGCCTTGATGACCGTACATAATATTTTGCTAGTTATTTTGAATTATTAAGTTACTAGTAAGGGCGGCATGGTGGCTCAGTGGTTAGCACTATCGCCTCACAGCAAGAAGGTTGCTGGTTCAAATCCCAGCTGGGTCACTTAGTGTTTCTGTGTGGAGTTTGCATGTTCTCCCCATGTTGGCGTGGGTTTCCTCTGTGTGCTCCGTTTTCCCCCATAGTCCAAACACATGCCAAATGCCACAGTCCAAAAAATGTAGCTTTTTATTAAAAACAACTAATTAACTATTTTCTAATAACTAATTTCTATTGTTTTTGCCTGAGCATGACAGTATATGATATTTTACTAGTTATTTAGAGTTATTAAGATACTAGTATTCATCTACTAGTATTAATTTAAAGTGCAATTTAAAGGCTTAATTAGGTTAATCAGGAAAGTCATTGAACAGCAGTCTTGCCAGTTTGTTTGTTCTGTAGCCAATTAGAAAAAAATATATATCATAAGGGGCAAATAATATTTCTTTTACATTTTTAATATGTGATTTTTTATTTCAGCCAAACTAAAATTAAATTAAATTAAATTAAATTAAATTAAATTAAATTAAATCAAATTAAATTAAATTAAATTAAATTAAATTAAATTAAATTAAAGTTTATTTTTCTGGCACTTTTACAATGTAATTGTGTCAAAGCAGCTTCACATTGAAGTTCTAGTTAACGTAAACTGTCAGTTCAGTTTTCAGAGTTTAAGTTTAGTTTAGTAAAGTGTTGTTTAATATTCACTGCTGAAAGTCCAAACACTGAAGAGCAAATCCATCCATTCTGAGCTCCACAAGTCCCAATACAAGCAAGCCAGTGGCGACAGTGGCGAAAATGATATGAAATGCTCTGGAAAAATGTCCTTGCTCTGTTAAAAAGCACTTGGAAAGTAAGAATTTAAATCCCTAATGACAATTTTGTTGATTATATAAACGTTGGAAAACCAGTCACTGGGAGTTGTACAAAACTGAGCCAAGGAAAAATTCAGTTTATTTCTTAGCTTTTTCAGAGGATACTTCTTTAAAAACATTGAAAAAAAAATCTTGATTATCCAAACATTAAAAAAGCATCAATAGGGTAGTGTCAATAAAAGCTAACCAGACATTTTTTTTACTTATAAAAAAATTAAATGATGAGATAAAGCACAAAACTGTAGTAAAAAAAGCAAGAAAGTATTAAAAAATGTTAATAAGTATTATAAAAAGAATACAAAACGATCACGTTCAAAGTTTAAATGCAGTATCTATATTTGCAGTTTGCAAATGACAATTTTGTATAATATGTATGCAGTATATACAGTTGAAATATTAGCCCCTCCTTAAAATAATTATTTTTTTTAATATTTCCTAAATGATGTTAAACAGATTCAGGAAATTTTCACAGTATGTCTGATAATATTTTTTCTTCTGAAAAAAGTCTTATTTGTTTTATTTCGGCTAGAATAAAAGCAGTTTTAAATTTTTTAAACACCATTTTAAGGTCAATATTATTAGCCCATGTAAACTATTTATTTGTTCGACAGTCTACAGAACAAACCATCGTTATACAATAACTTGCCTAATTACCCTAACCTGCCTAGTTAACCTAATTAACCTAGTTAAGCCTTTAAATGTCACTTTAAGCTGTATAGAAGTGTCTTGAAGAATACCAAGTCAAATATTATTTACTGTCATCATGACAAAGATAAAAAAAATCAGTTATTAGAGATGAGTTATTAAAACTATTATGATTAGAAATGTGCTGAAAAAAATCTGCTCTCCGTTGAACAGAAATTGGGAAAAATAAACAAGGGGGCTAATCATTCTGATTTCAATTGTATGTTGCATCATTATTACATCATATATTATACTAATTGCACCATTATTATTCTTTTTTTACCTGTTTCTCAGGTGATTCTCCGTTGAGCTTCCAGTCGTTTGATTTGAGATGATAAAGCTCATCAAACTTGAGGCTGATATCTTCTATCGAGAGCTGCAGGAGGTCCCAAAACCCTGCCAGATCTTGAGCCGTGGGCCTCGGGTTTGCGTTCACATTCTGCACAGACAGACAGCATGAAGGAAAGAGAAAATGATTTCATATTTGATATGAAGCACTTCTTCAGTTGTCCACAAGAGGGTAATGCATATGAAGATATACGCAACTCTATGTGGATCATGTGGTGCATGTTTTGCTATTTACTGATTCAGAGACGCAGATCAATAATTTAAAGGGACAGTTCACTCAAAAATGAAAATTATAGCATCATTTACTCACATGTTTCAAACCTACACGAGTTTCCTACTTCTGTTGAACACAAAAGAAGACGTATTGATAAGAGCTGGAGACCTGTAACCATCGACCTCCGGTTTTCAGCTTTTTTCAAAATATCTTCTTTTGTGTTTGACAGATGAATGAGACTTCTAAAGGTTTGGAAACACTTGAGGGATCATAAGGATAAATTTTTTTTGTGCGTACTATCTCTTTGACAAGCTTAATTAATCAGGGGTTATAAGAACTAACAGCGGAATGAACCGCCAACTTCAATTATACACTTTTTTTTTGGCTTAGTTCCTTTATTAATCAGGGGTCGCCACAGCGGAATGAACCGCCAACTTCATTCATTCATTAATTTTATTGGCTTAGTTTCTTTATTAATCAGGGGTCGCCACAATGGAATGAACCGCCAACTTCATTCATTCATTAATTTTTTTGGCTTAGTTTCTTTATTAATCAGGGGTCGCCACAGCGTAATGAACCGCCAACTTCATTTATTCATTAGTTTTTTTTTGCCTTAGTTTCTTTATTAATCAGGAATCGCCACAGCGTAATGAACCGCCAACTTCATTTATTCATTAATTTTTTTGGCTTAGTTTCTTTATTAATCAGGGGTCGCCACAGCGTAATGAACCGCCAAGTTCATTCATTCATAAATTTTTTTTGGCTTAGTTCCTTTATTAATCAGGGGTCGCCACAGCGTAATGAACCGCCAACTTCATTCATTCATTAATTTTATTGGCTTAGTTTCTTTATTAATCAGGGGTCGCCACAGTGGAATGAACCGCCAACTTCATTCATTCATTAATTTTTTTGGCTTAGTTTCTTTGTTAATCAGGGGTCGCCACAGCGTAATGAACCGCCAACTTCATTCATTCATTAATTTTTTTGGCTTAGTTTCTTTATTAATCAGGAATCGCCACAGCGTAATGAACCGCCAACTTCATTTATTCATTAGTTTTTTTTGGCTTAGTTTCTTTATTAATCAGGGGTCGCCACAGCGTAATGAACCGCCAACTTCATTCATTCATAAATTTTTTTTGGCTTAGTTCCTTTATTAATCAGGGGTCGCCACAGCGTAATGAACCGCCAACTTCATTCATTCATTAATTTTTTTGGCTTAGTTTCTTTATTAATCAGGGGTCGCCACAGCGTAATGAACCGCCAACTTCATTTATTCATTAGTTTTTTTTGGCTTAGTTTCTTTATTAATCAGGGGTCGCCACAGCGTAATGAACCGCCAACTTCATTCATTCATAAATTTTTTTTGGCTTAGTTTCTTTATTAATCAGGGGTCGCCACAGCGTAATGAACCGCCAACTTCATTCATTCATTAATTTTTTTGGCTTAGTTTCTTTATTAATCAGGGGTCGCCACAGTGGAATGAACCGCCAACTTCATTTATTCATTAGTTTTTTTTGGCTTAGTTCCTTTATTAATCAGGGGTCGCCACAGCGGAATGAACCGCCAACTTCATTAATTCATATTTTTTTTTTTGGCTTAGTTCCTTTATGAATCAGGGGTCGCCACAGCAGAATGAACCGCCAACTTCATTCATTTAATAATAATTTTTTTTGTGGCTTAATCAGGGGTCGCCACAGTGGAATGAACCGCCAACTTCATTCATTCAATAAATGTTTTTTTTGGCTTAGTTCTTTTATTAATCAGGGGTCGCCACAGCGGAATGAACCGCCAACTTCATTCATTCATGAATAAGATATATATATACACACACACATATACACAAAGAGACATACCAGGTTTTGTTCACACAGGCCTCTGAACTGCTGGAACTTCTGGTTCATGAGGAGCTGAGCGCTGCCCACCGCACTGCGCACCTTCCCCAACACTACAGACAGACGGAGAAAGATAAACAGCCAATTATGATATGGGATAGTTAGGAGAGCAAATTTGGCCAGGATGCCGAGGTTAAATCCCTGCTCTTTTTCGAGGGACATCCTTGGATTTTTAATGAGAGCCAGGAGCTTGGTTTATCATCTCATCCAAGAGATGGTGCTCACTGAGTAGTATAAAGTCCCCATTAATATACTGCAGCGTTAGGACTGTTGAGCGCCCCCTGCTGGCCTCACTAACACCACTTTCTGCAGCAACCTATCTTTCCCATGTGTTCTCCCATCCAGGTACTGACCAGGCTCAGCCCTGCTTAGCTTCGGTGTGCGACCATGTGAGAGTTGCAGAGAGCGAGCTGCCAACCATGGTGTGTGTGAGCAGTGTGTGTGAGATCAGAGCAGTGTGTGTGAGATCAGGGTGGTGTGTGTGAGATCAGGGTGGTGTGTGTGTGTGATCAGGGTGGTGTGTGTGAGATCAGGGCGGTGTGTGTGAGATCAGGTGTTTATCATCTCTGTTTTGTCCGTTGTTGATGCATAAATCCGTGCTGATCATGTAGATTAGAGCATTTCATCAGATTAAACTCTTGTCCGTCTGCTCATCTGACACACACACGCATGTAAGCGCACACACTCTAACGTACACTCACAACTCACTCACACACACGGATAAAACACACATGCACAAACAAAAAATAAACACATTCACACATCTCATTTTCACACAGAAACACACAATCACACACAATGAATGACACACTCACTCACACACACTTGCACTCACACACACACACAGACACTCGCACACACACAAACACTCTCTTGGACACACACACATATATGCACTTGCGCCCACACACTTACACTTAAACACACACACACACACACACACACACACACGCACAAACCGTCTCACTCTTACGCGCACACAAACACATTCACATGCGCACACACATACATACCCACACGCATGCACGCACACACACACACACAAACACACACACACACACACACACACACACTCACAGACACTAGCGCACACACATACGCGCGGGCGCGCGCATATAAGCACACACACTCTAACGTATACTCACAACTCACTCACACACACGCATAAAACACACATGCACAAACAAAAAAGAAAACACATGCACACATCTCATTTTCACACACACACAATCGCACACAATGAATGACACACACACTTGCACTCACACACACACACACACACAGACACTCGCACACACACACATATATGCACTTGTGCCCACATACTTATACTTAAACACACACACACACACACGCACAAACCGTCTCACTCTTACGCACACACACATACATACCCACGCGCACACACACAAATCGCACACAACCACACATTCTCACTCACAGACACTAGCGCACACACACACGCGCGGGCGCGCGCATATAAGCACACACACTCTAACGTATACTCACAACTCACTCACACACACACGGATAAAACACACATGCACAAACAAAAAAGAAAACACATGCACACATCTCATTTTCACACACACACAATCGCACACAATGAATGACACACTCACTCACACACACTTGCACTCACACACACACACATATATGCACTTGCGCCCACATACTTATACTTAAACACACACACACACACACACGCACAAACCGTCTCACTCTTACGCGCACACATATACATACGCACGCGCACACACACAAATCGCACACAACCACACATTCTCACTCACAGACACTAGCGCACACACACACGCGCGGGCATATAAGCACACACACTCTAACGTATACTCACAACTCACTCACACACACACGGATAAAACACACATGCACAAACAAAAAAGAAAACACATGCACACATCTCATTTTCACACAGAAACACACAATCGCACACAATGAATGACACACTCACTCACACACACTTGCACTCACACACACACACACACACACAGACACTCGCACACACACACATATATGCACTTGCGCCCACACACTTACACTTAAACACACACACGCACACTCACACACACGCACAAACCGTCTCACTCTTACGCGCACACAAACACATTCACATGCGCACACACATACATACGCACGAGCACGCACGCACACACACACACAAAATCGCACACAATCACACACTCTCACTCACAGACACTCGCGCACACACACACACGCGGGTGCGCACATATAAGCGCACACACTCTAACGTACACTCACAACTCACTCACACACACACACACACACATGCACAAACAAAAAAGAAAACACATGCCACACATATCACATACGCACACACACACTTATATGCACTTGCGCCCATACACACGTGCACACACACACGCACAAACAGTCTCACTCTCACACGCGCACACACACATACACACATACAAAATCGCACACAATCACACACTCTCACTCACAGACACTCGCGCGCACACACACACACACACACACACACATATACAGACACCCGCACTAACACTCTCATGAACACTCTCGTACCCTCCTCTGAGAGCTGGTGTTCTGTGGTCTCCTTCTCCATCTGACAGCACCAGCCCTCCATGCGTCCCGTCTCGGCCTGCAGCAGCTTCAGGAACCAGTGTCCATCCCGTCTGCAGGCGGTGCCGGAGCTCAGGGGCTGATTGGAGCAGCCGTTCCCCGTCCCGTTCCCGCTCTCCAGCCAGGGGTCGGGCGGCGGCAGAGCTGACGGGTCCAGCGCCGGGTCCAGGCTCTCAGAGAAGGAGGACGAGCTGCTCTGTGTGGTGGAGCGGTGGGTGAGGATCTGCCGTGAGGGTCCGCTGCTGCTCACCGGCGGGTCACTGTCCTGAGGAGGAGGAGGAGGTGGAGGAGAGTCCACCGCCTGACTGCCGCAGCTCACCATCACCTTCTGCTCGGCGCTTTTGGAGCCGCTCTGGAACGTGAGCGACGTCAGCGACAGATCCTGCGTGTCGGAGTCCGTCTCCTGCCGAGAGGCCATACTACTGGAGCGGCTGAAACTACACACAGGCACAAACACACACAGATTTGTTTTCCTATCCTTGCGAGGACATTACATAGACTACCATTGTTTTTCTCTCAGGTTACTGACAGTGTCCATGGCCTAACCCGAGCCCTAACCTCAACCCTCACAAAAACATGAGCACATCATTCATTCATTCTCTTTTCGACTTAGTACCTTTAATAATTAGGGGTCGCCACAGCGGAATAAACCGCCAACTTATCTAGCATGTGTTTTACAGAGCGGATGCCCTTCCAGCTGCAACCCATCAATGGGGAAACACCCATACACACTCATACAATTTAGCAATACCCAATTCAACTATATCACATGTGTTTGGATTTGTGGGGGAAACCCGAGCACCTGAAGGAAACCCACACCAACACAGGGAGAACATGCAAACTCCACACAGAAATGCCAACTGACTCAGTCGGGGCTCGAACCAGTGACCTTCTTGCTCTGAGGCGATTGACATGAGCACATTATTAGATAATAATGAAAACATCCTCTGACCCACACACACCCAAACCCACACACATTTGCTTTCCTATCTTAGCGAGGACATTACATAGACTACTATTGTTTTAGTCTCAGGTTACTGACAGTGTCCATGGCCTAACCCGAGCCCTAACCTCAACCCTCACAAAAACATGAGCACATCATTCATTCATTCTCCTTTCGACTTAGTACCTTTAATAATTAGGGGTCGCCACGGCGGAATGAACCACCAACTTATCTAGCATGTGTTTTACAGAGCGGATGCACTTCCAGCTGCAACCCATCAATGGGGAAACACCCAAACACACTCATACAATTTAGCAATACCCAATTCACCTATACCACATGTGTTTGGATTTGTGGGGGAAACCCGAGCACCTGAAGGAAACCCAGGCCGACACGGGGAGAACATGCAAACTCCACACAGAAATGCCAACTGACTCAGTCGGGGCTCGAACCAGTGACCTTCTTGCTCTGAGGCGATTGACACGAGCACATTATTAGATAATAATGAAAACATCCTCTGACCCACACACACCCAAACCCACACACATTTGCTTTCCTATCTTAGCGAGGACATTACAGGCTGCGCCCGGTCAGTACCTGGATGGGAGACCACTTGGGAAAGCTGGGTTGCTGCCGGAAGTGGTGTTAGTGAGGCCAGCAGGGGGCGCCCAACCTGCGGTCTATGTGGGTCCTAATGCCCCAGTATAGTGATGGGGACTCTATACTGCTCAGTGGGCGCCGTCTTTCGAATGAGACGTTAAACCGAGGTCCTGACTCTCTGTGGTCGTTAAAAATCCCAGGATGTCCTTCGAAAAAGAGTAGGGGTTTAACCCCGGCATCCTGGCCAAATCTGCCCACTGGCCTTTGTCCATCATGGCCTCCTAACCCTCCCCATATCATGATTGGCATATCATCACTCTGTCTCCTCTCCACCAATCAGCTGGTGTGTGGTGTGCGGTCTGGCGCAAAATGGCTGCCGTCGCGTCATCCAGGTGGATGCTGCACACTGGTGGTGGATGAGGAGATTCCCCCCCATTGTGTAAAGCGCTTTGAGTGCCCAGAAAAGCGCTATATAAATGTAACGAATTATTATTATTATTATTAATTACGTAGACTACTATTGTTTTAGTCTCAGGTTACTGACAGTGTCAATGGACTAGCCCAAGCCCTAACCTCAACCCTCACAGAAACATAAGCACATCCTTAGATAATAATAAAAACATCTGCTGGCCTATTTATATATAAAGGAGGACAACAGAGGTCTCACAAGTATAGCTTAACAAGTACACACACATACATGCAAATACACTCTCACTCTCATGCCCTCTCTCACACATTCGGACAGCAGAAAACCAGCCGTATTTGAGCTGAAGTTGGAAAGTATGAGTCCCATTGAACGGCTACAACTTGGCTTGGGGTTTTGGCGTCTTTACAGGACAGAGATGTTGGCATGAAAATCATCCAGATCAAGTAAGAAATCATCAAACCAAATTGTGCAATCAGGCAGAGAAGAGCTGCTCATCTAAACTCACTTACAAAAAGGCAGGATTTGCTTATTTATATGTTTATTTACTATAATAAAGGAAATAAAACACAACACACCAGCAACACACCACCTAAGCAATCCTTAAGCAGCAGGAGGGGGGGGGTTCCCGAGATCTACCTGAGCTCAAACTCCCCTCTCGCCCTGCAACGGGAGGGAACCCCGGGCTCGAGGATCTCATGAGGTCAAGGCTCTCTCCCGGGACAGCATGCCAAACTAGCTTAATACCAATCATCAGCTAAGTGCGAACTCTTGAAGGCCAATTCAGTTCATCAATTCCCCTATAGCGCATGTGTTTGGACTGTGGAGGAAACCGGAGCACCTGGGGGAAACCCCCACCAACACGGTGAGAATATGCAAAATCCACACAGAAATGCCTACTGACCCAGCCGGGACTCGAACTAGTGACCTTTTTGCTGTGAGGCGACAGTGCTAACCACTGAGCCACCCCATGTATCTAATTCATATCTGATAAATTTCCATATATGTATGAGGCCTGAATCTGATCTGAGTAAATCAAAATTTATTTGATTTTTTTCTTTCGTTACGCCCAGTTCTGCTAGCAAGGCCTTCCAGGTTAACTGAGCGAGACACAGGAAGTGAAAGAAACTCACGTCCAGCCGTCCTCCACTTGAACCCCGATAGACTGGAATCTGGCCAATGGCGGAGGAGTCTCCACTTTAGCCTGGATTTCCTGAATACAGTCCACCTGCAAACACAGGTCAAATATGGTAAATGTGCAAAGGTCTTTAATACTGAAATGCACTCAAATGAATGACATATAGAGATCCCTGACGCGTGTTTTTCAGGGATGATGAAACCAATCCTGATCATTATTTAAATGCTTTTAAGAATATCTTCAATTCTGAGTTCCTGAAGCTTTATTCTTATAATAATGTATTGTTTATTATACGTCGCTAATCAGAATAGCCTGCATGGAAATATAATAAGACCAAGCATGAAAATAAAACTTTAATACTGTAGCGGTTTTGAACCATACCATAGTAAAGTCCTTTATATTATATTATTAAATAATAATTATGTTAAACTACAGACACAATGACATGTATCTAAATAATGCATTCATTCATTTTCCTTTGGCTGAGTCTCTATTTCAGAGGTCGCCAAAGCGGAATGAGCTGACAACTATTCCAGCATATGTTTTACGCAGTGGATGGCCTTCCAGCTGCAACCCAGTACTGGGAAAAATCCATACACTGTCACATTCACACACACACACACACACACACACACACACACACACACACACACACACACACACACACACACACACACACACACACACACACACACACAAACAGAATTGGGTCACTTGAACCCTGCAGTGAAATGCAGGATATGAGGTTTCCTTTTTCTTTTGAACACAACAGAAGATATTTTGAAAAATGATGGAAAGTAAAAAAAAATGTTTCCAACATTCTTTGAAATATCTACTTTTGTGTTCTAAACAAAAAAACACAACAACAAGGTTTGTATATATATATATATATATATATATATATATATATACATATATATATATATATACATATATATATATATATATATATATATATATATATATATATATATATATATATATATATATATATATATATATATATATATATATATATATATATGATTATTTATTTTGTAATCAGGGTAATTTAAATAACGCTAAATTTTAATAAATAAATAAATAAATAAATAAATATATGTATGATTGTATGATTGTATGTATGTATGTATGTATGTATATATATATATATATATTATATTAGCGTATTTAAATAACCCTGATATTTAATTATTGATATATTTAGGGAAATTTGTTTTGCTAACTAAATAGTCCATTAATTTCCATAATAAATTTCCATTATTAAAATTATTTTTGTTTCCCTTACAATTATTTCCCAAATGATGTTGTACAGATTCAGGAATTTTTCTCACTATATCCTATAATATTTTGTCTCATAGCGAAAGTCTGATTTGTTTTATTTCGGCTAGAATAAAAGCAGTTATTCATTTTTTAAACCCATTTTAAGGTCAATATTATTAGCCTCCTTAAGCTATATTAATTTTGGATAGTCTACAGAACAAAACTCTCTTATACAATGACTTGCCTAATTACCCTAACTTTACAATAATTACCCTAGTGAAGCCTTTAAATGTCACTTTAAGGTGAATACTAGTGTCTTAATAAAATATCTAGTCAAGTATTATTTACTCTCATCATGGCTAAGATAAAATAAATCAGTTATAAAAGAAATGGGGGGGTGTAATAATTCAGGACGGCTATTAATTTGGACTTCAACTGTATATAAGATATCTCTTTGAATATCGGTGCCGATAATCGGTGTAATAAACTCACCTGAATCCCGATGGAGGAGAGTTTGCGTCGGGGCACGGGTTCGAGCGGGGGTTCGTCCGCAGCGAGTGTTTCCCCCTTCAGCGGCTCATTGTGTGTTTCTCTGAGAGCGTTTGGAGAAATGACCACCGCCGCTGGAATCTGCGGCTCTCGCGGCGCCGCTACGGGGATCTGCGGACGCGTCCCTTTGGCTAAACTGTTGGCTCGCGTACTGTCCAGGCTATCAGAGGAGTTGCTGCGTCCTGATTGGCTGTTGCCGTCGCTCTTGCGGTCCGGATAGCAATCCTGCGCAGACTCTGTGCTGCTCTGCACCGTCACAGAGATGAACGGCTTGGATGTGGTTCTGGGAGGAACTGGAGGAGGAGCGATCTTCTTACAGGTGGTCATACATGTGGAGACTGCACACATACACACACACACAGAGACACAAACAAACAGGTTTAATATCATGCATTTTAAAGGTAGATCTCTTATTATATATATATATATAAATAAACATGATATAAACATCCAAAGCTTGCAGTTGATCAACGATTTTTTAGGAATCCACCTCATACTTCAGTTTCTCATCAACTCTTCTGACCAATCAAATGCTCTCTAGTATCTGGCACCCCCCATCTCCCTTCAAGATGCCCCGCCCCCTTCAAGATGCTTTTCAATTGATGCGATTGAGCTCAACCGCTTTCACTGGGAGAGCTGTGGGTAAAATGCTATTGGCTGTTTATAAAGGGGAGGAACTACTCTATGCCCCGCCCTCTTCATGCTTCAGTTGAGATTACGTCAAACATTGAATACAAAATGCACATTTCGAAGCACTTCACAGGACCTTTAATGGCATTTCACTCAAATTGCGTAGATAAAATATAAACATATTCAATCTTGATTTAGTTTTTTGGTAGATGACGTCATTATTATTTAGCGTTATTTAAACAACCAACCCGGGCTCATTCGGAAAACATAGTCCCGCGGATGTTTCTGGAGAATTATGTAGTTGGAGGTACGTATGGCTGCATTTAAAGCGTCTGGAGGGCTTTCTCACTGCAAACAATTTGTCCGGTTAGCTCGTCGTGTACATCGGCGGACTTGAGATGCAGAGATGAGCTGACCACGACGATGACAACTGGGTTCGAATCCGGGGAAGAGCAGTTCCAGAAATCAAGTAAGACAAAAACAGAATCCCAAAAAATAAAGTGTACAAGTTCATAACAGGGTGAGAATGTGGTAAAATCTGAAAACGTGGTAAAAATCAGACGAGGGATTTTCTTTTTCTGGACGACTTTTGTAAATTGTTGGTTGGGTTTAGGGAAGTAAGCGAGGGGGCGGGTCAATGTGTAAAACTGGTTGGGTTAAGGGAAAGAGGAGGGTGGGTCGGCCAGTTGGCCGGTCGCCCAGTCAATCATTTAGTCAGTCAGACAGACGATTGGTCGACAGCGGCCTCTGGTGGATTTACGTGAGAACAGCGCAGGCTCGAATAGCACTCGTGAGAGACATTTCAAATGCAAAAAAGCGCACACAGCGGCCTCTCGAAGATTCGGGAAAACGTATTTCGTGATCTCCTGAAATGTCCACAGGACTACGTTTTCAGAATGAGCCTGGGTTGTAAACAACTGTGTTTATAAAATAAATAATGTTTAAGCAATGAGATATTTATGAACATTTGTTTTGCTACCAGCGACGCAGTAGGTAGAGCTGTCACCTCACAGCAAGAAGGTTGCTGGTTCGAGCCTCGGCTCGGCTCAGTTGGCGTTTTTGTGTGGGTTTCCTCCGGGTGCTCCGGTTTCCCCCACAGTCCGAAGACATGCGGTACAGGTGAATTGGGTAAGCTAAATTGTCTGTAGTGTATGAGCGTGAATGAGTGTGCATGGATGTTTCCCAGTGATGAGTTGTAGCTGGAAGGGCATGCGCTGCGTAAAAACTTGCTGGATAAGTAGGCGGTTCATTCCGCTGTGGCGACCCCGGATTAATAAAGGGACTAAGCTGAAAAAAAAATGAATGAATGAATGAATGTTTTGCTACCTAAATCGTCACAAAATAATTGTCATATTTGTTTATTACACATTAACACAATCTGTAATTTAAATTTCATTAATCATTACGGTTTATATACCCTATAAACAGCAGCAACGCTAATTATTTTCTTTGTTTTCTATTTCCACCTGGGGATACTCATCCCGTGGCCTCTAGAGATTGTGCAGTGCCATTGATGTGATTAAAGACCGGTGAAGAGACGGTGCCAACCAGAGGACCTCAAGGACAACACATATAAAGAGATTATGCCAACCATAGAGGACTTATCCATAATCCTGGACCAGGCCGTATCCTGAGCAGATGCTGTGGCTTTCATGGAGGAGTGAAGAGCATGAGCCTGATTCCTGAAAAACCCCATGACAGATGAGTCTCCGCATTAATCCGGTTGGCTAGCCTGTACATCTGCCGGTGACCTACTCATACTTGCAGCTTCTCCACGACGGACGTCCAGCGTGCTCCAGCCTCCAGCGCCTAGACTGCAGCTCTGCACAAGAAGTTTGGCCAGAAATGGTCGTGCTCAACTGAGCCTGGTTTCTCTCAAGGTTGTTTTGCTTCACTTTTGTCAATTGGTGAAGTTTGTTCCTCCACTGTCACCACCAACTTGCTTGGTTTGGGACTTGTGGAGCTGCTCATGGATGGATTTGCTCTTCAGTGTTTGGACTTTCAGCATTGATAATTAAAATTAAAGATTTCACTTAAACCCATACCCACTAAATCCAGTAAATCCAGAGATATTTTGCCTCCCACACATAATTTATACAACATCCAACACTTTAAAGTAGACTAAACCTAACTCACACGCAACAATTGTGCAAAGGCCGATATGTTTTCTTCTCTAATAACAATAATAATAACTATACAGTGCACTCATTTTTAGCAGTAGTTCGGTGGCAGTCCTCACAGCTCAGAGTGTAAATGGGAGTGTTTTGTCCATGTTTATGATGTGTTCTGACGTCAAGCACAGCCTGCGACCTTTCTTTCCAACAACACAGTTGTTTTTCCAGCCCTGCAGTGGCCCCAAAATGTTTTTGGACTCCAAACCCAGGCAAAAAAGTCACTGCATTAGATAGGAAACATCAACCAAAGGGATTGTAAAATACAGATGCACAGACAAGCTGTACAATTAAAATATCTGACACATGTTTGCAATGTTAGAATAATAAATCAAACATGAAGATGTTCAGTATTTGTGTTTGCTTGTGGGTTGCATACACTAACAATGATGAAAACCCATAATAATCATACAAAACTGGATCTAATGCAATGATGTTCAGACATTTGCGAGTGTACAAATACTTTCTGGAGTCTGTATGTTTGACTCTGTGCTTGTGGAGGAATGTATTTGTTAACTGAATTGATTGCTTGGTGAATTTAAGAAGGTTACTGGTTTTAAATCCGGACACAGAGAGAAACAAAGTGGATGCCCGAAATAAACGCTGTGCATGTCTTAGTGTGATTTTACTGGGGTGGAGCTGGCAGATGGAAACCAAGGCAAACATAACAAGCCCACAGGAATCCCGAGTGTGTGTGTGTCGTAAATCTGGGCGTCAGAGCTGTATGTATGTTACACACTCCACACCAGATAAAACCATCAGTGTTCCTACATGATGCTAAAATTATAACCAAGCTAATCATGGAGTCATGAAGATACAGAATAAAATAAACTATAACATTCCTATGTCACTTAAAAATGCATACAGAAAGCCAAACAGAGGTTTCAAACACATTTAGTGCAGCTGTGGATGTTAAATGAGCACTTATGACAGGGCATAATCCTAGTGCAAACAACACAAAGACCTTCATCAAACATAGCGAGAAAAGCTGATCTGCATGTGTGCATTCATGCTAAAACATTCCACAATGTTGTGTCACGTTCATCAGCTCATGAATGGATAAGGGATGGTGGGCTGCTGGAGTCTGCTTGTTCATTTAATGCATTGAAGGCATAATAAAACCAGAAATGTATCATTCAAAATTACAATTGTTCTAAACATTGCTTCTTTCTTTTGTTGAATATAAAAAAGGCTGATGGTAGCCAATGACAACTATAGCATATCTTATTGTTAGTTAATGATTGACATTAAGAAGTCGATCTTCTGAAGTTAATGGCTAGCATTAAATCATTATGATAAAAATATTATCTGGGTTTAACAGAAGAAAGACACACAAACAGATTTTATAACTTAAGGGTGAGTACATTTTAATTCTTGGGTGATCAAAATCTATAAACAACTCAATCATCTGACCAATCAGAGCAGAGGGTAGGGCTGTCTGACCAATCAAAGCAAACTTGGTCATTTGACCAGTCAGAGAAGAGTAGAACCATCTAACGACTAAAAAACAAAACAAAACAAAACATAAAAAAATACGGTAAGGCTTTCTGACCAATCAAAGGATGCTGGGCCATCTGACTAATTAGAAAAAATAGGGCCATCTGACCAATCAGAGAAGAGTAGAGCCATCTGACCAATCAAATTACATTGGGCCATTTAATGAATCAGTGAAGAGTAGAGCCTTCTGACCAATTAAAGGACACTGTGCCATCTGACCAATAAGAGAAGAGTAGAGCCATTTGACCAATCAAAGAAGAGTAGGGTCATCTGACCAACCAGAGCACACTGGCCATCTAACCAATCAGAAAAGAGTAGAGCCATCTGACCAATCAAAGAACAGTAGGGCTTTCTGACCAATCAAAGCAAACTGAGTCATTTAACGAATCAGTGAAGAGTAGAGCCTACTGACCAATCAAATCACATTGGGCCATTTAATGAATCAGTGAAGAGTAGAGCCTTCTGACCAATTAAAGGACACTGTGCCATCTGACCAATAAGAGAAGATTAGAGCCATTTGACCAATCAAAGAAGAGTAGGGTCATCTGACCAACCAGAGCACACTGGGCCATCTGACCAATCAGAAAAAGAGTAGGGTTATTGGACCAATCAAAGAAAAGTAGGGCCTACTGACCAATCAAAGCACACTGAGCCATTTAATAAATCAGTGAACAGTAGAGGCTTCTGACCAATCAAAGGACACTGGGCCATCTGACCAATCAGAAGAAAGTAGAGCCATCTGACTAATTAAAGAAGATTAGGGTCATCTGACTAATCAGAGCACACTGGGCCATCTAACCAATCAGAGAAGAGTAGGGTTATCAGACCAATTAAAGGACACTGTGCCATCTGACCAATCAGAGAAGAGTAAGGTTATCAGACCAATAAAAGCACAATGTGCCATCTGACCAATCAGAAAAGGGTAGGACTATCTGGCCAAACAGAGAAGAGTTATCTGACTAATCAAAGCACACTGGGCCACCTGACCAATCAGAAAAGGGTAGGACTATCTGACCAAACAGAGAAGAGCAGGGCCATCT